TGTCCATTTGGTGAAATATTGTGTGAAAAATCTCGAGACATTGGTCTAATTTTTATGAAAAAGTCAACAAAAGTAACATATGGTAGAAAACCGAGCAAGAAAGATTTCTTTTTATTTATTGTATTTTAAACTTATTTTTTGGACATATATGTATATAAATTTCTTTTATATCAGCTTTCTGATATAAAATCTATAATAGTTTTATAAATATATAATTACATAATATTTTTTTATACAAATATATATTTTTAAAGAACTGGAAAGGATACGGGCAGTAGGAATCAACCGCAGAAGATGTCGCGCAAATAATATATCTATGAAGTGTGAAACTTCTTTATTCACTAAAATGCGCTTACATGTTTCGGCTCACTTTTGAGACCGCCCTCCTCAGAGACAACACAAACTAACATAAATAAACTATGAATGAAAGATTATCCTATCATAGTGAACTCCTCCACCTCCCCTACTTCGAGAATTTAAATACCAGAATTAAACTCAAAAAGAGTGAAAGAAAAAAAAAAGAAAAATGAACAAAGATAAGGAAATAATGGAAATATCGAAATAGAAAATATGAAAAACTAATTTATCAAAAACCTTAAGATTATAATTAATTATCCCGAAAATCAATGTCATTCGTACGCAATAATGAGTCTTTCTGACGTGATTTTTGATTACTTTCCAACTTTCATTTTCATAGAATTGATTAGCGTTTCAATGTAAAATTTTTCATTTGTAAGTTTCAATAATACTAGCTAAAACTAAAAGTGACTTACTGTGTCTGATACTGACTGGCCAAAATATCGAGAACCGGTTTTTGAATAATTCATAATGTTTATGATAGTTTGTGATTTGTGATCAAGATGAGCGTCCTTATTTTCGGGATAATTAATTATAATTTTAAGGTTTTTGATAAATTTGTTTTTTATATTCTCTATAAACATAGTAAATAATATTTAATAAATTAAATTTTTGATAGGTGCGGCATATATACCAGAGTTACCCTAACGTATACATGAACTATATGCGTATATTTATCAATAAAAATAAAATATGAATATGAATTATTCTCTCATAATTAATATCCTGTGTGTTAGGAATTTATAGATCTATGTTAAACTCATTACGGTTAAAAATATCTGTATCCGGAAAGGAATCTGTTTTTCGTGACTCTTTTTCCGTCATCACAGTGAAACAGAACGCATCGATCCGAGAATCTGCGCGTTTCGAGGCAAAAATTTATTTTGGAGTTCTAAGAAACGTCCCTGGAAAATTGTCACTCAACCATACGAAAATAAAATCACATCATTCGTTCGAACGTCGCATCGAGTTCTTCTCGCTTCTTTCGCGCGATTCTAATGCGAGTTTTTTATGAAAAAACACAGAAAAAATTTCTGGTTAAAAAATGGATGAATGAAAAAATTCTATCCATCAGCATTCTGATTGTTCAACTAGAATTACAACGTGTATATAGATTAAACTAAATTCTAATTTTGTTCATTTTAAATCAGAATTCCAATTAATGTAACTCTTTTTTTCAGTGCACAGTGTAAATGTTCGCCATACAAGATAAAAATATATTTAGCGCCGAAGAAATGTGTGCACATACGTGACTCGACGTAAAACATGTTGCAACAAATTATTTATAGTATTACTCTTACATAACGTATGTCCCAGTTTTAAATGTAACGTAGTTATTAATATATACCTTATTTGTAGAAATATAATTCTACGGAGTTTTACATTATTTTATTATTTTCTTTTTTTAATATTTACGGATGTTTTCTACAATTCTATTATATTCTTTCTCTCTGTATATTATTTAAAGTTCTAGAGTTTCTTGGTAAGCTTCCTCTTTATTATATTGTATTTTTTTAGCATATATTTCTTTTAATATTATTTTTATGAAGTTTTTAGCTATTTTATTCTATAGAAGATTCTTCATTATATTTATATAGTGTAGTTCATATAAGTAGATGCATAATTTACTGCGCTTTGCCCACGTAAGTTGACGAGATATTCTTTCATTTAAAAGCATCTCTGTCTTTAAAAATAATTTTATGAGAAAAAGAACACGCAAAAATTAACATTTTCTACTAATAAAATGGAGGGAAAAATATTGATGATGCAAAACTCCAAACACGAAGTAACGTATTTATTTCTCAACAATAACCATAGCTCAGCGTTATCTTCAATTAAACACAAATATCCAAAAATAAAATAGCAAGTTGACGACAGCCATGATATACCGCATAGAAAAATTAATTATCGAGACAACAGAACAGAACAGTCCTCATAAATATCCGTGCGCCTATAAATTTCGTATCTTTCTTCCTCCCTCGATAGAAATAACTCGCAATTATCTAGCAATGCTCCAAATCTCCAAATTGTACCAAAGGCAATCTACATTTTTTCTGATGATTCTCTCTTCTCTATGAAAACAATATTACTTAAAGTTATGTAAAAGCCCTCTTCTAGCGATTCAACAACACTCTACACTTGTCCAAACAAGTCGTATAATTTCACGAATTTATTCTGTAGAAAGTGTTTCCCACG